CTCATAAAACAGAAATGTTGGTTGAGATTTTCCTCTATATTCAATTAGAGCTTCAATTTCATCACTTTGAGCCTGAAGTAAAAGTTTATGTTACTTATTAGCTACAAAAATTATTAAAGTTCAAAACTTATATAAAAATATTTTTTTAGGAATAAAAGAATCTTAACGTAATCTAAATTTAATAAAACATTCTTAAAGTAACTTTATTTTTTGTTTATATACAGTTATATTTCTTACTGTACATTGCCTGGGGTAGAGGTAATAACACAAAACTAAAAAAATTATAGTAAACAAAAACATGCTTGCAAAATATTTTTGGGATAAAAAAATAACCCATATTGTGAACCTCTCTTATGTGAGTTCAGAGCTTTAAATATTTATAACCTAATATTCACAAAGTGATACTTTTGATGTTTTTTTTTCTTAAAGTACACATTGAAAAATATTAAGACTCATTCTAAACAGGGTTTATTAAATATGGAATTTGAATTATCAGACTTCAAATAAGTTTTTTAAAAATAATTTAAGAGGTTTGTATTGAATAAATTACACAAAATGGTTATTACATTTTTTTAACTTTTTTTTTTTTTTTTTTGTTGATATTTAAAATCAGTCTAAAATACTTATTTACATTTTATTATTTATAATAAAATTTAAAAATAATAAAATGTTGGCTGCAGAAAGCAGATTGGCTGCATACCATACAAGCGCTGATTCATACTACATATTCCATACAAGCACGGATTTGAGTTTTATAGAGATAAAGAATAGAATTCAGAGTAAGAAAGTGGCAAGCAGGATAAAGAGATGCAACCTTAGCAGATGCTTATTTTGCAATGGCTTTGATATATAACTTCCAAGAAAGCTCAGAAGTAAGAGTTAGTCCTATTTAAAGTGGTATGTCAGTACACCTTCAAAATAGTTAATTGTATTTAGATAGTGTTTCTTTAAGTTAATAAATTTATATATCTAAACTTAATTTATACATTTGAAAAATATATATATTTTAATTAATAATTTAAAACAAAGTTTCTGTTACTTGGTATATAGTAAAAATTTGTTTTTTGGCATATTGTAAAGCAGATTTGAAAGAATTATTATAAAATAAAATCTTAAAGTTATTTATATCAAAAAAATCTTTATATGTCACCTGGCCTTGTGAAACTGTGAAAGACAGCAGTAAAATTTAACCTTTTTATGTGACCTGGTTTTATTATAAATTAGGAAACGCATCAGCAAAAATTAGCCATTTTATGTCCCCTTGGTTTTATTTTAAATTAAGAAAGACATTAGTAAAATTTAACATACAAAAGTTAAACAAGGATTTTTGGATAAATGATTTCTACACAACAGAAAAGTACAATCAAAAAATTTCATCAATGCAGCATCCCAGAAAAATGACTAAAATGTTGCAATTTATAAAATATAAACTAAAATAGACATAAAACCATCATACAACATAAAAACATCGTTTTTTATTTTCAAATTGAATGTAACCTTTTTTCATTGATCTACGTTTTTCTAAATGTCTTTACAAGTGCTATACTTTTTTGTTTGATCTGCCCCAAGTTTAACTATATTACTGAAAAATTGGAAATTATCTTTAAAATCATATTAAAATGCCACAAATAATTGTAACAATATTAATTCTACCACTACAGTTTCAATAAAAAGACAAAATTCACTCTATAGAAATCATTGATACGTTGTATTTAACTCATTGTTTAGGTTATGATAGGATTTCTCAGGTTTCATAAAGTTCAAAGGTCTCATACTTTATAAAACTTGTTTTCAAAACATTATTTGACATTTCTTATTTTCTTTAAATTTTGTTTAAATAGAAAAGATTTAAATTGTCAATAATACAGCTTTGTAAACTTTAAAGTATGCTACCCTAACCCTAACCCTTGATTCTTTAAAGTTTTGGGACATCCTAAAAACATGCTATCATTGCTATCATGCTATGTTTATAAGATTGTTTGCTCCTCCCCCCCCCCCCCACTTTTCATAGCCTCCATACCCCCACCCCATACATTAGTTACAATTTTCAAAATTTCTGTACATCGGCTATTTTTTTGATAAAAATGATGACTGATAAACCCAAAAAAGTAAAAAAATACCTTTATTCTATATAATATTATCGAGTTGTAAAACAGCAAACTTAATTGCAATTTCAAAGTATGGCTTTCTAAATTTTAGATTTTTAGGACACTTTCCCCATAATACTAATATTTTCTTTTTACCATAATACTAAGTTCAGATTCTTATTTAGATTATTTAGGAATTAATTATAAGTTAAAGCACAATTTTAGTAAAAATACTTGTAGACAACAAGGGAAAGACTATGTTGCTAGGGATATAAATTTTGAACCAGTGCAGTTGAGGTGCTTTTAATATAACATATCTTATATAAATAAAAAGAGCTTTAAATTTGACACAATACAAAAAAATTTAATTTTTATGTGATAAGTTGAATTTTTCTAGTTATACCACTACCTTGATATTCCAATTTAAACATTCGAAATAAACTTACTGTTGCAAAAATAAGGAGATCATCACTGCAATCGATTTTAATTCTTTTCAAAATGTTGACAATTGCTTTACATGGACCACACCAAGCTGCATAAACATCAACAACTATAACAAATATAGATTAAAAAAAAATAGCATAAAATATAAAAATATAAGGAATAAGTTAGAAATAACTTTAGACAAAATTACACTTTTTCAAGGATCTTTAATGAAACTACTAAGACCAACCAATCAATCCAAGTTGATTGGTTGTTATTACTAACCTGTCAAAAAAAACTTAAGTTTGAACCCCCTCAAAATAAGGGGGGAGGGTCAAACTTTATTTGGTTATAACTTTTTAAATGCTAAAAGATTATTGTATGAAATCTAAAGGTTATCAATGAATATAAATTTAGTTAAGAATAGTTAAACTACATTTTATTAACTTGTTACTCTCGTGTTTGGGGCAGGTATAGCTTTTTTTGTTCTAGGCTCCAATCATCATGATTTTTTGCAAAGCGTCTTTATTTGACATAAGAATAAACATATAAATGTTTGGAGTTAGCTCTATGTATGGAAGTTTGCTTTTCAAACATCAAAAATGCTGCATTTGCCCCTGGAGATAAAACTATGAAACTTATAAACTATCCTAGAAATTGAAGCAAAAACTTAGAAATCTCCTAGCTTAATAAACTGCATATTTTATTCTCTATTCTTCAGCTCCAATAAACAACATCTCAACAACTTCATTGATAAAAAAGTTGAAGCAACAGTTTGCAACTACAAAAATGTAGTAATTTTTTATTTATTCTACATTTAAAATACAAGATGTTGTCTTAAGATAATGTTCTTTTGCTTTCAGATTTTCTTAAAACACAAAGAAACATTAAAATGTTATAATTCAAAGTTAAAAATGTTATTGCATAAACAATTTATTTATCCTCGTCCCCAAAATAAATGGTCACCAAATCTCTTTCACCATCACTGCACACAATGTAGTATATATTTTTGAATGCTTAAATAAAAGTAAGTTTATTTATATTTAGAAATTAAATCATACCAGCTAAACCAGGTTTTTTCATTAGATTTTTCCATTCTTCTGATGATTTTACTTCAATCTGAAAATTATATTTTTTCATAATTAAAACTTTGTTCTAATATTAACATTTAATGAATACATAGAAATATGGAATATACTAGTATACAAGGAATACAAAAATTAGTATGAAACAAATTTTTGTCAAAAACAAATATTTCTTTTTTTAAACAATGGTCTGGTAATAGACTACTGTACAGCATTTTTATTGTGGGAGAATCATTATCAAATTAAAAGAATAATCATAAAACCTAAACCATTAATTATTTAAATTTACTGATAAATAATAAAATTTATTTAGAATCTAGTTCTATATACCTGTAAACTTTCATCCCTATTTTTTTTTGCCATCTTTATTTATTCACTGGTATATTGTAAACTTTAAACAATGCACACCTTTTATTTTCAATTGTATTCACTTAACCATAATTTAAATATAAAAGTACACACTAACAGGTGTGCATTATTTAATGTAAATCCTTTTAAACAAAGTTTAAAACATATAGTAAACATTACATTGCTATCCTCAACTAAGCAATAAAAGTTATAAAATACTCCATCTTTAAAACTTTTCATTGAGTCAACATATTTTGTAGAATTCAACAAGAATTTTCTTAAAAATATATGTATATATAATTTTCCAATTTTTAAATTTCAATTTAAAACTAAATTTAAAACAGAAAACTTAGAGTTTGGGCAACCTCATCAACTACTTCAAGATATACCTTAACAGCAGTCTCCATGTGCAATGCCATTGAATGTTAATGCAATCATAGCAATATTTAATGCTTTTTCAAATTTATCTTTTTTTCAATGAGAAATCATTTTCTGCGATCATATCGCACCCAATTGGAGTATTTTTTAAAGCTCTATTATACCCATTTATCAGTAAAGGCCTTTAAAAATTAACAGGATTTATTTTTTCTAGAACTTTTCTAGAACAAAACAAATTTAATATGTTTTATATCAGGGCTTTTTTTATGCTTTATTAGTATCTCTGACTTATATGAGAAGTTAGGCATTTCCACAGATGCTAACCTATATTCTTAATTGAAAATTAAAAACTTGTTTAAGTAGTTAAGAATTGAACCTGTCATTTTGAAATGGACACAAGTCTATTTATGAAAACTTTTCAGAATCAACAAAAACATGATTTTTATTAAAATAATGATTACGCTGCTAAAGATATTAATTATAGGAGTAGATAAATGAAGAACATTTATAACTTATGTAAGTTTTATTTTTTATAAAAAAAACTTGAATCATACAGAAGTATTTAAATTTGTAAACTAACTGGTAAAAGTTTTGAACATGTGTCTTTTTCGAAATGACAAGTTCAATTGTAACTTTTAAAGAAGCACAATAAAAAAGACAAACATTTCCTAATTTCACTTTATGTAAAGCTTGCAATAAAAACTCATCAAATTATTCCTGATGAATTATAATTTTATAGCCTTATGAATTATAATTTTATTATCATACACACCCACCCACCCACACACACACACACACACACACACACACACACACACACACACACACACACACACACACACACACACACACACACACACATTTTACACATATTTTTGTGTTCATACACTCATAAATACTTAGGTTCATTTTGTATGATACTCATGAAAGAATACTGTAATTTTAATACAGTATTCTTTCATGTGTAATGAAAGAATACTGTATTAAAATTACAGTATTCTTTCTCTTTTATGATAATGAATAAACATTGTAATGTTTATTTATTATCATAAAAGAGTTTAAAGCACGGTACACTTTCAGTGCTTCGCATCAATTGTGTAAAATGTATAAGATACTTTTTTGCTATAAAGTTGTTTTTAAAAATAATTTTTTAATTTTTGAATAAAATTTTTGCATAAAACTTAAAAAATCTACCTTTTTATAACTCCCTAATTTATATTTGTAAAATTTAAAATCTAAAAAGTTTCAACGATGAAGTTTTTACATTAATGTTATTTAAGTTCTTTAAATATATATATATATATATATATATATATATATATATATATATATATATATATATATATATATATATATATATATATTTATTTTATTTTTTTTTTAATTTCGCTTAGTATGTTAAGGTCGCAAATGTTAATGTAGACATTTATTTACATAAGAAACAGTTCAAAAAACCTTATGGTTGTGTAGTTAAAGAGTTACTTAGAATTTAAAGAAATCTTAATTTTTCTTAGTAACGACTCATAAAAGTAATATGAACTGTTATTGTTCTTTAAAAATATTTTTAGCGGTTTAATAAATTTATGATCATCTTCTTTTCCTAGAAAATTTTCAACAAAGAATCACGCGGTTCCTTTTAGATATCATAAAATGCGCCTATGCATTAGTACTATATAAAAAATTACCATATAAATTGAGATTTTTTATATAATATTTATTAAGTTTGTAATATACGAATTGTAAATTTCCTTGAAATATATCATAAATAGATTTATAAAATTTAATATTATATATAATATATACTTGAAAAGCTGCCGGTTGCTTTACTCCAATGCGAGCAGTCATAATTGGCGTTTAATAAACCCACTAACATAATTCGAATCCGAATTTTTTAATTGAAATTCGAAAAAATTGTTTTCTTCTGTTTTGTATTTTTCTTAAGCTCAATGATATCTCTGCAAGGATTACAAAATTGTAAAAATTAAGATGTACAACATGAGAATTAGTAACTATAAGAAAAAAAAAGTGTAGTTTTGTTATATTTTACAAAATGCCATTTTTCTTTATTTACTGAAAATGATAGATTCAAACGTTTTTTCAAAATTTTAATATAATATATTATTACGTTGTGTAATATACCCCCATAATAATTTGACTCCCGTTTCGTAAAAAAGTAATTAGTTGATTGGTATGGCTAATGATATTGGATATAATAACAGTAATAAATAATATATATATATATATATATATATATATATATATATATATATATATATATATATATATATATATATATATATATATATATATATATATATATATATATATATATATATAAATATATATATATATATATATATATATATATATATATATATATATATATATATATATATATATATATATATATATATATTCAGTGGCGTTCCTAGACATGGTGTCACCTGGGACGGCAAATAGGGTGTCACCCATATATTATATGTAATTATTTTTATATACGAAATTATTAAAGCAGTATTTAGAAACGTTGACACGTGTAATTTTAAACCTTGTTTTTGACAATAATAATTTAGTGTCTATAACTCTCTATAAATAATTCTCGTCTATAACAGAGAAAATAATTATTTGAAAATAAATTGTTGCCAAATAATTATTGTCTCTGTTTTAGACGATAATAAATTATTATCTAAAATCGTCTAAAATCAGCTTTATTCTTTTATATGCTTAAAAAAACAGTAGTACCTGGATTTGATTTGATAGTAAAGTATAATAATAAAATAGAAAACCTACTGAAAGAAAGAAAGCTAAGCGATTATATTTTCTAAATAATGATAACTATATCTTTCAGCATTCAGCATTTCGTAGGTCGTGTAAATAAATACCCACTTAATTTTTTATGTAAGACTGTTTAATTATAAACCAAAATAAAATATAAGATATTAATAAATTGGATGTCACCCAATACAGGTACGCCACTGATATATATATATATATATATATATATATATATATATATATATATATATATATATATATATATATATATATATATATATATATATATATATATATATATATATATATATATATATATATATATATATATATATATATATATATATATATATATATATATATATATATATATATATATATATATATATATATATTCATGCACCGGAACGACATAATATAAACATTTTTTTTTGCCCTTGTATTACTATATAAATGAACTTAGATCGTTTTTCAATATTAAGCATATTAATCCAAAAAAAAGTTGTATTAAAAAATCTTTAAATTGAAAATGTAAATGTGGGTTGTGAAGATCAAGTTAAACATATTTTGCAGAAATGAAAGCATTACAGCACATCGTTTTAGAACCTAATGTTCTTTAGTAAAAACTAAATTTGCTTAGGAAGAATTTACTTTAACTTTTTTTCTTGTTTATTTCATTCTGTTTTATGATTTCAAATTATTTTTCGTTCAAATATCGGCGGGCGTGTATTTCAGGCACCTCCCTTTAGAAGTCCCTAAAAAACGTGTCACATTTTCCGGATAACATTTATTGAAAATTATACTCTAACCCTAAACCCAAAAATAAAGTTTATTTTATTAAAAGCCATACTCAAACCAAATCCTAAGCCAAACCTAAACCAAACCCGGAGCCTAACCCTAAGTTTTAGGGTTGGGGTTTGGTTAGAGTATGGTTTTCAACAATACTCGTTTCGTATAACGGACTTACTAAACGGGGTGCCTGAAATATACGTCCGTCCAAATATCAAATTTTACAACCATTTGCGTTTCTAAAAAATTCTATTGTTTCTGTGCTATGTTTGTCAGAATATCTCATAATGTCTTATAATGATTTTTTAGAACACAAACTTTACGCTGTTTGCGACATTAATATAAAAATATCGATTAAACAAAATAACACAAAACAAAATAACATAAAACTGAATATGAAAAAAATCACTAGTATTTTTTTAGTTGACTCTCCAGTTCAGAAAAAAAATTAAGTGCAAAAGAAACACAAGAAAACAAAATTAAAACGTCAGATTTACATTTCTGCAGACAATTACACCAACTACAGCAGGCCTAGTTATTGGACATTAGAGCAAAAAACAGTTTTCTTTTAAAAACAACTGACTTTATTTTCGACAAAGCTTGGCTTCACAACCTGACAAAAAGTCAAATAACTTGGCGTAGAAGCTGTGATCGGAACAAACACATAAAAAAGAATGGTCAAATTATAAAGTTTCTTATCATAGCGAAGATAGAGAGAAAAATTGGGAAATTCAAGCTGCATTTAAGTTAATAGAAGAAGCTAAAGAAGAGACTCTTTTAAAAAATATTTTAAGCGTGAGAAAATTGTAACAGCAAACATTTTTAGAACTGCGTAAAAAATTGCAAAACAATTTTTACGGGTTCCTGAAACTTAAGTTCTTCTTCGAGTATTATTTTCGTCGAGTATTTTTTATAAGCGTCAATTTTTTCAAAATTTAAGTTTGAAAATAAAATTGCTTCAGAGTTGGTTGATTTATCTGGAGTATGCCTTATCTGTAAAACGTCAATGCGTTTTTACTTTATAATCCTTGGTAATATTATGAATTATGTTTGGCTAAAATGTATGTCTCTTGATTAAGTTGAAAGAGTAGCACCACCTTTTTTTCTTGAAAAAAAGCACTGTATATATACTTCAAGGGCTATTCGAGACTGTTTTAGACAGTGTTGACGGGGCACTTTTTAATTTGGGCGCCGCTTAAA